CCCCCAAAACCCCAAAACCCCAAAACCCCACTTCACTCCCAAATCTAAAACAATAACTTAATATGGACAAATCTGAACTCCAAGAAGGAGGCAAAAGTGGGTCAGAGAGAGGATATAGAGGAAGAATTAGTAAAAAGGAAAGATCAAGAGCTTATAGGAGGAGAAAGAAGGATTTTAGAAAGTGGCTTGGAGAGAAGTGGAGAGATTTGAGAGGGAGAATGGTGGGATGGGGTAGGAGATTGGGAGGGATTTTGGAGGGGAGAGGGGAGGTGGGTTAGAGGGGAAGGGGGTGATGAGAAGGTTGGAGAGGATGGGGTTGTATGTGTAGTGGGGGGTTAAGGAGAGGAGGAATGAGCAGGGGGATTTGAGGATGTGGATGGTTTGTTAAGTGGATGAGAGTATTGGAGAGTTTGGGTAGTTGTTTGTTTGAGTTTTAGTTTAGTGAGGATTGGGATGGTAGAGCATTATTTTAGAAGTAAGGAATATGATGAAGGTTTATGATTTATTTTAGAGATTCTTGACAATATTGTAACATTGGATACCAAAGTTGTTCATTGATGTACAAAGGAATTTCTCCAGAAGAGTTCATTAAAAGACAAAGAACTAAGAAGAGAAATTCAAAATTTGCCAAGGATTTTTTCACTGAATATGATTTTAGTGAGAGCATGCTCCAGGCCATTGAACAAGGGACTGCTAACTACTTAAAGCTGACCAGAAGAATACAGAAAATGTAATACATCGTAATGAATATATAGAGCTGAGGAGCTGGTCCCCTTAAGAAACAAGCTGTTAAATACTTTGAAAAGCGTTCATGATGAGATAGTGAGCAAAGACTGGCCTCTTAAATTCGCCAAGAAAGACTTAGCTAATATGGGAGAACTCATTGAAAGACTAAAGCAGTCAGAGTTCTTGTCTGCTCACAAAGCATGGGAATCCCACTAAAAATTCATAAGAAAGAACTCTACGAAGGAGGAGAACTTAGTGATGAAAGCCCTGAAGAAAATAAAGAATAAAGTCTTAATTACAATCTTAAGGGAATCCTAAGGGGTTTTGGGGTTTTGGGGTTTTGGGG